AAAATCGTCCAAGGGGGGCGGTGACTAGTAATAAGGGGGGCGGTAAATAGTAGCGCCCTAATTATATCAAACATGATGAATTACTGGAGAAAATATTTTGGAATAATAATGGAGATATGAACGAATTTGAAACTTAGAAAACGTGACGAATATGTAATTTCATGAAATTTAATAATTAATCCTACCCTACACAAACTCATTGTTCTAAAGTCTTCTTAAGCATTATTTCCAAACAGGTTATGAATTGCACTTTTAGAATTGTATTAGATAACTTAAAATTATAAATAGGTTTATTTATTGTTTTATAAATGTTAATAAATTTTTTTGGTTATCTTCTCTTTCCTTTTTTATATTTTATTTTTTTTGTCTTCATATCTTTTATATAAATAAAAAGATAATGTTTTTTTGTTTATATAAAAGTACATATTGTAAAGTATATTTATTTTACATATACGAAAGTGTCGCGAGAAAATAATTAATTTAATATATCATGTATGAAAAATATTTTTGGTTTTTTCACAATGAAGTAAGGCCAAACTCATGAGCTTATTATTCTGGCGACGTTCTTGTATATATAAAATAAATATATTTTATAATATCTTCTTTAATAATATAAATTTATCTATTTATATTTAATTATATGAAATAATATCGTATCTATTGTTGGTAATTAAAAAACCAATAATTTATATTATTTATTTTATTATTATTATTTTTTTGTGTACAATGAAGGAGACTAAAAGCCTAGAATGGGACACTACACGACTATACTATGCGGATGAGCAACACCCGTTAAGTCATGTTCCAACCAAATCTTAACTCTATTTGATGGATCGTGTAACCTCATATATCCTAGCGAACCCAACGCCTCTTGTGCGGCTAGATAATCGGTTTCGTAATTGGCTTCCCTATAGTTGTGATGAATCACTATCTCCCAAATGCGACTCAAGAGGTCCTTGATAGCCATAATTAGACCCCTATGCATCATTGTAGGTTCTTCTGAATAATGTAACAATAATAAAGTTATCAACTTCAACTAATATTTTGCAGACCCCACAGCTCCCACGAAAGTCGTAACTCGTGGTATAAACCCCACTACCCCAACAATTGGACAAAACTATTTAAAACTTGTTCGAAACCCTTAGAGCATCTCCAATGAAGTGTGCATTCTTCAATTCCATTGCCACATGTCCCGAAAAATCCATTGTGGCATGTAAAAGTTCTAGAAGTCTTTCTAGATGTAGAAAGACTTCTAAACATCTTCTATTGATATTATATTATTTATTTTATATCTCTCTCTCAACCAACTAATTATTTTCTTACACATGTCAATTTATTCTACAATTGACATTCACCATTGAAGACAAACTATTTTTATTGCTTTTCTCCACAATATACATATCAAAATAGACATGATATCATTGGAGATGCTCTTAACTTTGTTCATGCGTGAAACCCGCCCCAACTTTTACGTGGAAGATGGGCTGACGATGGGCCCATTAAACCATTCAGCGCATAACGAAAATATGGCCCACTTAACTGGACATGTGTCAGCCTGTGAATGCCCCTTTTTGTTGCTTGATTCTACCGTTTCCAGACTATATCATTTGAACTGTAAATAATTGGGTGCGCGTTCTTAATATAATAATTTTAAGCAACCCAGTTAACCAATTATTTGTTTGACTGCCACTTCTTTTTCTTTTTATTTTTTTTTTATTTTTATTTATTTTTTTATTTTTTTTAAGGCTCTCCACAAAAGAATTTGTTGAGTCTCTTACAAGACAATTGCATCAGCATAATAAGTTAACTCATTGCTGTTGGTTGCAATAATGGCAGCCATGCCACATTATGCATTACTTAAGAAAGTGGGATTATTTTTATAATCGCTTTAGTGGTTGATTATAGTCTATTTAACTAGACAGGTAGATCATTTATATCAAAATATTACTTATATTATGAAGTTTCATATATTTTTTTTTTTTTAATTCGTATTGAAATATGTGATGTTGTAAAATATCCATCCCATATGAAAGTTTGTGGAAAAATAGTTTAGATCATCTTTATACATAAATGTTGTTATCACATAAATTTTGACAAATGTCAATTATTTAGATAGATTGTATAACACATAAGATATTTGTTAAGTTCACAACTTTAAAATTATCTACAATGCACAATGTGATCAAAATAATATTGTCCATTTGGTAAAAATAAAATATATAAATAATAAACAAAAACAATTAAATAATTTAGATATTTTCAAAATGGTAATAATATTTCTCTTTCATCTCTCAAGTTGATTGGAATGTGAATGAGAATGTGGATGAACCACATTCTTCTCTACATTGTGGACTTTAATTATGTCTATCTCATCACTATATTTGTGATTACATTGTGCATTGTAGGATTAAAAGTGAAGACATTGCTAAAATTGTTAATATAAAATGTAATTTACTACAACTACATTTCACCATTGGTGATGCTCTTACTATTGTATCGACTGTAGTTAGACAAACCTGACGGACAATTATATTATATTTTAAAAGATAATATATAGGTATATTTTTATATACAGGTGATATACTTTAAAAAATGATAAGAACAAAAGTTAACATTTTTTAATATAAAGATGCATTTTAATTTAAATAGTATGTAAATTTGTAATCGACTAATGTAAGTATGACTCATACAAGTATTTGTGTATTCATATAAGTCTTGCTATATTTAATATGATATTGAGCTACCAACTACTTATCAATAGTACTTTCTATACAATCATTTATAATCAAACAAGTTAATCACCAACTACTACACTTTAATTATGAGTCAAGATTTTGGATTACTGTTAAATTGCATTGCATAGTAATATGATCATAGGAAAAGAAACTATCCTCCAGTGCAGAAATTTTATTTTACAATCTCATCAATGCATAAATATATACTTATATTATAGAATATTATATATTATTTTTTGAAAATAATATAACTGTTAAGCCTGACTTACTTCTACTCTTCCACTGTAAATACAAATTTTAAGCTCTTTTAAGTGATTTTCCTCCATTTTTTCTACCACTCTTCTCCTTGTCCCAAATCCCAATTGCTTTTGGTGGGCAGTAAAATCTTGTCTCAGTCAAAAAAGGACAGGTGAAAAAGTCAAAACCCTCAACAGTGAAATAAAGAGATCACACAAACATCTAGGACTGCGATTTTGCTATGAAGCCAACTGTTGGTTCTATGAAGCCAATTGGTTCTACTACTATGTTGGTTTGCCAACCTATCCCATTTTTCTTTTTAAGACAAAGATCTCATTTTCTTCATTGGGATTTCAAGCTTTCCCTTTTCCCTGTTTTTCCCTTTCCTTTTACTTCTTTATTTTCCCCCTTTTTTTCCTTTAATATCAGTTTCTTTGTTTCTTCTTCCCTTTTGTCTCCCCCCTTCTCTAAAATCACTCCAAAACTTGTTGTAAAAGCAAAAAAAAATCAAATAATCAAAAGTTCACACCTTTTTTCTTCCCCTTTCATCCTCTCAACCTGAAAATAGACACACGCTCAAACAGAGAGTAAAATCAAAAGTATTTACCAAAAACCTCCATTACCAGACGATGCTCGATTAGAACTAC